ATTTCTTTAACATCTTTGCAAAAACGAGAGATATGTGTCGTTAAATGTGAATATCCGCATCTCACGCTAACAGACAAATGAAGAAGCGGAAATAAGACCAACCATCTCTCTCCACCAGGCAGTTACTGCTTTGAAAACATTAACACAATTTTTACAGTATTCAACCGGGCCGGAGATTCTACCAGAAGACATTGCTGTACTTTATAGGGTACAGAGATTAATGGGATTAAAATACACAGAGTCTTAAACAAAAAACTTTAGATAGTTATGTTAATAAGGGCTAACACTCGCATACTTGTATACATGAGAAGTTAACATGCTTTCTGATATATAAATAAATAACTATTGGTCCATTTCTATATACCTAAGATCACATGATTTCTTCTTTTTGACTGTATATCCGTAATGATTTTCCTGCGAGCTAAGAATTCGATGCAAACCAAAGAAAAAAATCCCTGGAGCGAAGTATTTCTTGTTAGTTCTTCTGTTGGGCAACCCGTAAGTCAAGTATCCATGAAGGATATAGATCAAAGGCCAAAGGACTTAGTGAATCTAAAAAGGAGTTGCAGAATTATTACGAAATTATTGAATTAATCATCAAAGGGTTCTTGACCAAAGGAGGGTAGGTCCGATGCTAGTTATCGACAAATGACGATCTACCTATGCGATAACCAATATGACTACCGTCTCCATCAGCACCGGTTCTGTCGTAAGCGTATTGGCCGTTCCTTTAGACTAAAGAGGTGCTAAAAGTAAGACCTTATCTAGAACTATCAGTTCTTTAGTTGATCTACCGACTCCATAAAAACCGGTTTTGTTCAATGTTTGAAAAGAACTCACGGATCACTAAGATACCTGACCTCCACGTGGTGTGATCTGGGTAACGCTAACAAGGTATCGTGTACTCGTCTAATTTTGAAAGATAATATTCATATTTCCTAAACTTATTAATAAGTTTCCGTCAGCGTATGTATGAACGTTTTTACATAGGCCGCGTTTTCTTCATAGTTTGAGCATTGTTATTCTTGCTAATTGCAAAATGAGATTTCGAAGACGGTTATATTTGTTACGAGATTGAACATACAGTAAATAGCAGTTGAACAAATGTTGGTTACAAAATATGTAAAACAATATTAATATGGTAATTAAATTGGCGCGTGTTCTCAAATATATAATTACAAATATGCTTGTTAATAATCTAATAATTAAACATTCGTGTTTTTGCATTATAATATATAAATTGCAATGAGGTACACATAATAAAGCCTTCGCAAATGCCCCGCGAAAAACAACCCCAAAAGCGTTGAGAAATTGATGCAAAATCGACGTAATGATCTTGACATCTGTAAAAAGCGAAAAGGAGAGAACGAGTTGTGCACATTGGACGATGTGAGTAAAAAATTTATGGGAATAAAAAAAATTGGCCTCATTGCCTACTTGTAATAAACGTTTGCCTGCGTGCCGAGTTAAAATTACCTTCTTTCATTCTTTCACGCCCCCCAGTATAACATAATTTGGATTAAACAAATCCATAGACTTGTGAGAGTGCTGTTTCCATCGTGTGAGCGTTATAGTAAAATTCAAAATAAGGTTTATAAGCATAGGGCCTTTGCTTGCCGATTAGGTTTTCTAGCGATGCTGTTACCTTTATTTATAAGTCAAAGACCAAAATTAAAAGATCAATGCCGTTGCAGATAAAGGTCATTAAACTTCTTCAGAGTATCGTCTATCGATGTGTTGTGTTGACTTAACATCTTGGCAATTAATAAGAAAAGTGTTCAGTTTGGAAAAAATACTATATTTTTAATACAAAAAGTCATACGTAGTATAAACGATGTATAACCGAGAATTTAAACCTAAACAAAATAACGATAAATTTACAATAACTTTTGTTGTACTGAACAAATATCAACCTAACGAGTATACTAATTTGTCAAAATATTAGTAAAATATTGGAGCTATAGAGTACGATAGAAGAAACATTAATGTTGAGGCTGAAATTAACGAAATAATATTAATATATATTATATGATATATAACGAGTATTAGAAATTTTACGTGTAAACGGTATTTCTTCTAGTCGGTAATATATTATTCGGTAATTGCGTAATACATGCTTTACATATCAAACACAAGCATAAAACTTACTCCTGTATGCCTTATACATAACTGCGACTTGGAACAACTTTGTTTATCAAAATGCTTCGTTTAAAAATTAGATACCGATGTCTCTTCTGTATATCATAAATCGATAATAACAAGCTGGATATGAAGTTATTTTTGTTATTTTAGATTCCAAAGATAAACAAATATCCTGGAAACAGACGGCTTAATGTTGTTGACAATGTGGTCATGCTAGCAATCAGAAATAGAAAAATTAAGCGCTTTTTTCATTTATTATTTTTTTTGTGCATACACTACGATAATTCTATTAGCTGACGTGTGCTATCAAAGGAAGAAACTAGAAGCCTTTCAGCAAGGTCTTTACTGTCGAGCAACCTATCAATGAAAGATTATTCCATATAGTAATAGCCAATTGACAAAAAAATTGTTTGAGTGAGTTCGCAAGCTTGATAAAACAATTGCACAAATAATTCGATTCTTGAGTAACAACAAATGTACCAGCGTCATTACATGGCCAAACTAAAACCGTTGATGAGTATAAACCATTCTTGGTCGCTCTGTTGCAGATTTAAATTTCATTATCTTTTCATTGTTACAATATAAACATACTATCACTATTATCTATTTCTTTATGTTTATTTTCGTCAGCTTTATCGTTCACAATGTTCTTCTTTTTTTCGTCAATCCAACGTTGAATTTGTCATAACGGCTTTTCTTGTATCATGGGAAGCTGTTACAGCTTTTCTTCACCAAATAACTTCTACACAAAAATTTTGGAGCGACTTACTCCTTTTCTGTACAATCGTTTCATAATTTTTCAATGACTGGTAAATAAATTTGTTATTCGATGGTTTTTTATCGTCTTTTAACTAAAACTCCCGTCTTGTAAAGTTGGTCCTTACACAAATTATACCGTTAGCTATGAACAAAGATAAGGCTACAAATAAGATTCTGTTTATCGTAAAAGTTGTATAGTAAACAAACGTGTTGACATGAGCCTCTGTTATGATTATTGTTATCATCACGATCACAAAAAATTATGCGCGTGACTCATCGAACTTGTGAAATTTATTGCGCGTATTCTCGGAAAAATTATTTATATCATTATTATTGTACCACGTAACGCAAGTTATGGACTCTCATTTTTAATACTGACGAAGAAATAGACGTATTAAAGCCTTCCGGGAAATAACGGTGTTTTCTGCTATTCTTCCGCTTTGTGCGCTGAACGGGTTGAAGTATGTAACCAGGAAAGTGTTTTATTGGAAGAATTAACGACTTTGTGACTCAGACATTGGGGACATAAAGTTGTGTATTCATAGGGTAGAGTAGACATAGTAACACGTTTTCTAATTCTGGGCAACTGTTCTTTTACTTTGTTGAAGCAATATGTAATTTCGATAAACCACGAAAGAAATTGTTATTAAAACTGTCAGGAATCTTATTAATGATTGTTTATTTACTTTGTATGTTTTAAACTCTATGGAAACGAACACAATATTCCAGAGTTTTCTGTCCCAAAATTGTCAGGCAAATTGCGGTTTTGTTTTACTGAATGTTATCGATGTAAGTTCTACCTTTTTTTCATTAATATTATTTTTACACGTTTCAGGTTATGTGACTCGTATTGATATATTATTCTTACTTTAATAAAATAATGCTAACTTACCTGCAAAACAATTCAATACTACAACAATCTCAAATCTCATCAAACGGTTCAATAATTCGATGTCTGAATTGAGGTAATTTTATTATAAAGATACACGTAATATTTGAACGAGTTATATAATAGGTTTGCTCAAATACTCTTTAAATGCAACTACCCCAGCAAAATTTATAATCAGGAATTTACCTGCCAGGTCGCACAACCTACCCCGTACGAGCTCAAATACTATTCTTCAAGCTGGCCTCTCTTTGATAAATGAAAATATTATGGGCCGTACAATCTGGCAGGCTGGTGACGTTGGCAGCTAAATTCTCAATTAACCAATGAGCGGCTTGAAAAGTTTGTGTAATGTGCAGATCGTGTTTTTCTATATCTCAGCGATAATAAATATATTATAGAAGCAATAAAATAAATTTTGATATTCAAATTCTATAAGAGAAATTCCATTAAAAAGTGGGAAAACGCTTATTTAATAGAGAGTTATAAAAAAAGCTACTTTATTAAATATGCTAAATTTTCGTACGGATTTCCTCTCCGGAAAGATGTTTATTTTGATAGCAATAATGACTTAGTACATCCGTTATTGCTTAGTATGATTATCATTACTACTGATGAAAAAACTACTATCGATTGCTAATAATATTACTGTTATTAATAGAAACAACGAAATATCGTTGTTATATCGTTGTTAAATTGGTATCGTTGTACTGTCCCAGTCGCTTACAACTAATTTGTTACAAACATGATTATCTTATTTAACTTTTAGTCTTAATATGAAAAAGATATCTTTGTTACGAACAAACAACTTTACAGAACTTTCTTTGTTTGATACTATTGTTGAAATGTACATAATTAAAGTAAATGTATTATAAACGTTAAACAAAGAACACTGCTCTAGAGCACTTGTTGTAATTATAGTAAACTGCAGAAGATTTTCAATTAGGCTAGTCGGATCTAATTAGGAAGTTCAAAATAAACATTTTCCCAGAGAACTACCCCAGCAACCTCAGCAAAATTTCTCAATTAACCAATGAGCGGCTTGAAAGGTTTATTATAATTACAACAAGTGCTTTAAAAGCGGTGTTCGTTGTTTAACGTTTATACATTTCTAACAAAGACAGTTCTGTAAAGTACATTGACTATGTTGTTTGTTCGCAACAAAGATATCTTTTTCATATTAAGACTAAAAGTTAGCTAAGATGATCATGTTTGTAACAAATTAGTTGTAAGCGACTGAGATATACAACGATACCAATTTAACAACGATATTTCGTTGTTAAATGTTTATTCTATTAATAACAGTAATATTATTAGCAATCGATAGTAGTTTTATTCAAATCCGTACTGCTCCACAAACGATCTGCACATTACACAAACTTTTTAAGCCGCTCATTGGTTAATTGAGAAATTTTGCCGGGGTAGTTTTATTTTCAGTCCCAACAGCGGGTTTATCTATAGTAATATAGAACAAAAGCCTTTGACCAATAAACGCCCCCACTTTTACTCTCAAGGGGGAAAAAGAAAGAAAGAAAAGAACTAACAAACAGCGATTAACACAACGTTAACTAATATCATTGACCAACTTAGAGCCAGAGTTATTCCTTTTTTTACTACGAAACCCGTTTCCATCTGTATCGTACTACATGTTGGATGCGTGTAACATGCTGCATAAATTCCTTCCCGATAAGAGACTAATTAAAATATTAGTCTGTTGTCGATAATCTAACAAAACACCAAATTTGAAGCTAAAAGATAAAGAAAAAGCCCCCAATTAATTAATTAAACTCGAATCCGTGCATCGAGCCGGAAAAGAAATAAAAGCAGCGTGAGGTCGCCAAAGCTTTCAATCAACAAGATTTCTCGACAATAGAAATCGTAGCTGAGCTTCTCCATCATACAAATTAAATACTTCAACTCTCCAAACTATCAAAAAACAAACACAATAATTCATCCAACTAAAATGCAATTCTCTCGAATCACCGCCCTTTTCGTTCTCTGCGCGTTGCTCGGTCTTTCCTTTGCCGCACCAGTCGACCGCTCTAAAGAACGCAGAACGCCAGTCGACCTCACTGTCCACGATATTGAAGAACGCCAATCGGAGTGTAGTTTATGCTAACGCGGTGAAATTTCCTGCTGAGCAACAACTTTAATCGGACAACTGTACCTGTCACCAGTAATGACGGCACACTTTCATTGTACGACGTGGCTGACAAAGAACAGCAACTGCTATAATTTTATAAAAGGATTCATGTTCTGTAATGAATATGATCTGTCCGCTTAATTATTCTGGTTGGAAATAATATTATTTATCGAGGAAGTTATTTTGTATCAAGCTTGAATGTATAAATAAATGTTCGACTTTTTGTATTGATTAAATAAATAAATGTTTAATTCTTGGTATAACAAACTGTATGTCTACATTAAGTGACTAAATTGTGTGCGTGTTTTTCGTCAACATGGGCGTGAGAGACAGAGGGAGAAGAAAGCAAAAAAAACCTTTTGTAGAATAAGCGAGAAAGAAATGTAAATCCAAGAATTATTCTGTTCGTAACATCGCGAAAAGTTACGGGCCTATAAATCTTTTCGTCGTATACAAAAATGTACATAGAAATCGGGTTTACGCGATATTTAGGGAGCATCGGCAGCATTTATTTGCTTGACTGTCAAATTAGAAAAAAAAAAGCTATTTAATTGCTTTCATCAAATAAAGGTTCATGATATCGCTCTTTTGAAAAAGCTTTACATCGAGTGAATGATAAACTTATTGTTCCTGTACAAAGTATTCTGTAAATCAAATGATTTCATCGTGATTATTCAGAGCATTACCGGAAGTAGAAAGATCGTTATTTAATATTGCCACAATACACTAGAATTATTTGGCAAAGGCGATCAGTTTTCGATATTACGTAGACTCTGTCACATACGATGGTGTCATAGTTTTTATAAAATATCCGTAATCTACGAGAGCAACTAAACCCTACTCAGTCACTAATAAAAGGTGAAAAAATAACAAAAGTATCTGCTAAAGGTGTTCTTTTAGTGTACACGCAATTACATTTTTTAGTTAGTATAGCAAGATGTTACCCGCAAAAACCAAAATATGTTAGTATTTACAGAGCCCTCTGGACAGCATTTTCGGCAATCGTTTGGGTTATCTAAATATTCTTTACTAGTGCTGTTAGTTATCATTCATATAATAAATCATATACTTATTGGACCTAAAATAGCAATTAAGCGCTTGTCTTTAAAATCCACTGCTTTTTCAAGAGCGTAAGCGCAAAGAGACCCGAATTGGATAATCAGCGAGTCACGTCAAGAATGAGACTTTTCATTATTGGATACGAGTTGCTTTAATAAATAAACTATTTAAGACCTCTTTCTTTCGGTTGATAATGTGTTATTTATTGACGAATATTAACTGATATTACTGTCTGCAATGCAAAATCAATCCCTCACCACTTTCTGTCAACGTTGAACATAACTTTCCAAATAAATGTTTGGCACACGCATCTTGTAATCATGCCATAATTACTCTTTGGGCGAACAACTGGCAAGTCAACTCTCTTAGACGACAGGCAATAGTTCTCCAATTAACAATCTTTGATATTCTCCTACAATATTCTTGATTCTTACTAGAATCAATGCCGCCATTGACTTTAGCCTTTCATCTTCCAATTTTTCAAATACACTTGTAACCCACTCTTGCGATTCTATCAACTCTTTCCCGTGCAACTCTGCGATGTCACGTTTAGCAACCATGTTTAGGATTATACTAAGACTGTAAAGTATCGAACCTTGGACTATGGGATCTGAGTAATACCGAATAGAAAGGATCAAATCCCAAAACTCGCGTACTATTATTGAAAGCGATAAACAGTTTTCTGAAACAATACAGAATCTTGTTAAAAACCCGTTGCAAAAGTCTTTACTGCAGTAATAATGAAAAGATCTGAAATCTTACTTGAACATTCAACTATCACTGCCAGGGTCGTGATGACCTTTTGAATCAGAAGAGGCTCGTATACAAGTTGTGTTCGACTCCTAAAATTTCAAAGATATCATTAATCAGCCGAAATATTTTACGTGACGCGTAACCACCGTGTAGCTTGCTATCTCGTCTACCTATCACGAGCCCAGCTCCACCATCCAGTAGCCAAGGGAGCAAAAAATGTCTTATAAGCCAATTCGTCAAATCTATTAACACTGACAGACTTTGCGCGCGCAACCTCAATTTGCGGTCGTTTCGAAAGTCGTGTAATTTTACCCACTGGAACGCTCATTTGCTGAATCGCATCAAGACTATCCCCTGTTGGCTGCCTGCTGACCGTATCAAGGGCGTATTTTTTGTCAGCAGGCATAGACTAAAATAGCAATAGGAGCAGAGTCAATTGAGAGAAAAGAAAAGGCAATAGACGATTAGAGATTGGATTAGACCTCCTGTGACTTTATGCCCGATATTTCTCGAGCACATTTTGCAATGACATCCAGTATCGTGAATCGCTGAGCTATGGATAGTTGCTTTTCTACCAAGTATTGAATAAGGTATCTGATCATTGAGGGACATAATTAGCAAATAACGCACACAGGGAAAAGTAACATTCTGTCGTGTTCAACGTACGGGATAACAATTTTTGGACTTCCACAACCGAGCGCTACAAGTGCGGCATTTCTACTTTCTTCAAATCCTTTAATCTTGTAAGAATCTTGAATGGACATCAAGACAGTAGCCAGATCGATGGCATGTTCATCTAAGATTCATAAAGAAGAAAAAACTAAGTCTAAAAAATTCTTTAAAAATTATTGCAAAGGTTATAAACAAATTTTTCTTCATAGACGACCTAGCTCAGTTCCGAATGTGCTTTTCTTGCAAATCAATTCACTTGCGTGCTTTAACGCAATCTCAATCTTGTTAGGTTCCTCGTGTGATTTTAGATATCCAATCAAGTCTCTCAAATAACTGACATAGGCCGTTAGACCCGTGTTCATTTATGTATGCAAGCTCTTATTTCAAATATAAATCAAACCTACATTGGTACTGTGAGTTTCTTCCCCTTCTCTCGCATTGAAAATTCAACGTCGGAACTTTCGCTATCAATTTCTTCTTCCATAGGATATGGCACAAAGTCATCTTCATCATCCGAATCAGGTATCTGTTGGATTATGCTACCACTTTTTGCAGTGGTATGCGTAGGCGCGTTGACAGAACTTGCTGGAATTATTTGTGTACTTGCCGTCTGACTATTTTCTTTAATACAGCGTAGTCCAGCAGATGAATTAATTGTACAAGTCAAGCATGGTAATTAAAGCCTTCGCCAAAATTGTCTACCTTGTTTGATTTCTCCCATCGCTTCTTTTTCATTCTCCTCATCGTAGGCCTCTTCTACAAAAGCATCTCTGGCTTTGGAGATAATCCTCAGCTGGTTCACAAACTCGTCATCAGAAGCTAAACCGAAATCCAATGCTTTATCAGGACCATCTGTAAGTTGCGACAGCGTCTCGGCTGTAACCTGAAATGTCATAAAACTTTTGTTAAAAGTTTACGCTTGTATTTTTTTTCTTCATAATGCGGCTGTGTTCAATTAACGAGTGCAAGAAATGTGACAAATAACCATTCCAATCTTTCTTGATTCTGTAAAAGAACCTCCAAGCCAATGCGTCACGCCTGTTGCAAGAATCTTGGAGATGCCAGCATCGATCAAGACCTCCTTGGGAAGGTATCCGAATATTATAAGAATGGCATTCGTAAGATCTATAAAGTCAGAGTGAAAGGTATGTGATGTCGACGGTCGGTAAAACATGAGATCCGCGGTGTCTCAATCGCATTACTTAGCGCATACAGAGATGACTCCTGGTTGAGCCATGTTTAACGAATGTCGGATCTGACCATGCACTCAATAAAGTCTTCAAGAGTTGCACGAGTTCTAACAACGTAATATGTACAAAATCGCGTTAGTTTAAGAAAGCGGCTCATCTCAAAGGAAACATATAATCGCGCAGGTAAAGCACCATACCACTATCCACGCTCAAATCGACCTTGTACTTTCCCAAAATACTTGTTTTCTCTTCCATACCGACTGCATTATTGATCGTTGTTCCCCAGCTCAAAAAACAGCACAAAACCCTTAAGATGCTATTCTCAAACAGTACTCCACCAACAAAGTACTTGTATTTCAACAAGTAAGCCAGTTGTTCTCCATTAATATCTCCAATTATAAGTTTGAGTAATTGTGCAGTTTTTAATACTTTAGAACGTGATTTGTCGTCGATCAAAGTTGAGGATATCGATGAGAGAACGGTCTCCTGACAGTAGATGAGAAAGGAAGTCAGGAAAAGTTCCAACGCGAGCGGTTGAAACGAGTGAATAGTCTGCTGCCAAATAGTGCAGTATGACGATGATGATGTCGTTGGAAGGTGTGTTCGAAGCATTGTATAAAGGTCGGGCACGATAGATTCTAGGGATATGTATAAGAAGAGGCGGATCGCCATCTTTGAGTTTGCACATTGGACAAACAAATTAGTAAGTGTCAATCTTACGAGACTCACTGGAATGTCCTCTTTTACAAATTTTTGACAGTAATTCTCCATACGCAAATGCCATCGTTTCTATCTCATATTCTACAAACAACAAAAAAAAAATAGATTCCTTGAATGTCGAATAAGCAACATGTAATGACTTTGAAAACTTGATACGAAAAGTTGGCTTTACATGCCTTTAATTTCGTTTCTTTGAGATGTGTTCCATATGGAAGACTCAATTTCTCGGGCCAATTTCTTGAAGTAATCACTAACCCTAACTGAATCAAAGACGATATACAAGCAATTGGAGAAATGACTCGATCATTGAGGATACGTATCAGCCAACAAACTACGATCGCCCATCCTTGCGTATTTATCGGGAATAGAACATATATATCTGACAAGATCTTTCCAAGCTGACTCGCAATCTGCTCGATCACTATCATTGCTAGAGAATATTGCTTCGAAAGAGTTGTGAACGGTGTGACAATCCTGCGTGGGAACCGCAGTCCGGAATGCGTCTAAATGAGACTGTAATAAGGTATCCAAAGTATTTTTCGCTGCCGTCATGATATCATCTGTCAATGGATTTACAAAGAATCCTTTTATATTCGTTTTATAGAATTGCCTTACTAAGAAATTGATCAACCAGCATATTATATGTACTAATATTAGTACTAATTGATTTTTCCGGATATATCCTATGTCAGGCGGTAGAGTCGACCAATTGATACTCTGAAAAGAATTTTATATTTATATCACCATCATACAATGCATTCGAATTTGAAATGCATTAAAACAATGTGTCGTTGGTCTCTGCCCCCAGTGCTTTACAAGAAAGAAATTTTTTCGATAATGAAATAATAAATTTTCGCTCTACTTTTTTGTCCCATAGAAGCATAAGCATTTATGACCATTGTGGCAGACTAAAACGACACCGGAATTGAGGTCTTCTTTTAATGCCTCCGAAACCCACATACTCTTTTGTTAACCCACATCTGGAAAATTGCCCCCCCAAAAAAATTTTTTTTATCACAATTATTTCTACTCTATTTTTAGACTAGCGCAATCTCGAATTCAAACTACCTTTCAGCCCCGACGATGCAACAACCTCGAATAGTTGAACCTGAACTCATTAACATATGTACGGTTTACTTGGATCAATATCTTTTTCTGTTTCAGACGCGTCATGCAAAAACCATGTTTTCGCCATTGAATGTCACCATGCGCCAATCTAAATAATGTGCAAACACTCAAAATTCATATTCCATGTTAATAAAGAGATGCTGAGGTGACTGGGATTGAATCAACGAAACTGTTTTCATTAACACATGGTATGATTCGCAAAGACACATCGTTAGCTCAAATAATTTCCGCGAAAATAAATAATTTAGTGCTTTATCAAAACTCTTAAAGCGCTCGAGTACAACAAGTTCTGACAAGCCCTTTTCTTCTGAATTGCCACCATAAACGCCAGATACAATCTCTCTAATCAAAAATCGTAATACTGCAAATATTTTACATGTCCAAAACTTGTCCAACAGTGATGTACATTGTAACAGAGCACAAATAAATATGCTTTCGTAAATATAAAGGGCTCTTGAGCTATATTATTTATTGCTATTGTATGACTTTGTAAGCGGAGTGTAACCAGTGACAACTGCATGTTGAACGTCAACGCTGCATCATAATCATAACAATAAATAAATAAATCTAACAACTTTTACCAGTACTAAGCTTTACAAAAATTGCTTACATTCACAAGTGAACTTTTGTTTAGCTTTATGTTAATGACCCAACTTGTAATACTTCATAAGAAGGAGCCTCAATTAAACTAATCAATACTGTCAATAAAGATATTATATGTATTATTACTATTGGCAATGAAAACGATTTCCCAGACACTAAACTCATTATCAACATGTTGACTTTGACAAGTTTTACTTGCTCCCGTGATAGAATTTTTGTTATTAACAATAAAATTCTGGATTTGCATATCAGAGTGACCAAAGCATGTTCCTGTCCACGTAATTACTTTCGTATGACGCTCATTTGTCAGTAATTTGGGTTTACTATTATTATTAGTACATGCCCCACTTTAATTCACATTGACCACACCCCTTTTCCGTAAGGCCAAGTGTAACTTGCACACGAATCTTGTTTATTGTTTACTGACTAGTGATGTTACACAAACAAAGGGCATGTCTTATTAAAAGTAGCCCCATTTCGGAATACCGTCGTTGTATTTCCCGCTTTACTGAACATATAGTTTTCTCTTCACACACCATATGTCAATGATACGCGTCTTTCCTTAAATACATTTAGAAAAAAACACTATTGTTAAGCAAAGTTAGATCGATAATAATATCCTTTATTCAGTCTGACAACATATATTTCCGGCAAAGCACAGCACCTGGTGGCGAATGGGAGTCCGTGACCGATAAAAACAAACTTGGATTTTGTCTCTCACGAATAATACCGACTTTGTGAACAAACGTAACCTCTGACGCGAACAACGGGTGGAATCATATAATCAATAAATAGGCCAATGTTGTGGAGTAAGAAAAAAGAACCAACGTTAGTGTTAATGTAGATAGCAATGACTACATATTATAAAAATGATGCTTGAATTTCTTAAAACGTATTTGTCGCGGCTCGTCTGTTTGCTAGCAAAACCGATCCGCCTCAATTTTGAAGCATTCCTATTCGCTAATTATCACTTGTCCCGCCTTATTCATAGAGACGATTCTGCGGTCTTTGCAACAGACCCTGATATGTTCGAGGAAGCCACTACTTCAAAGTCTAGAAAATCTAGATTTCGTTCATTTACATCAAGGCGATCCAGGCGTAACTCTAATCTCCGCCATGTATCTGATAGTTCTCCATCATCATCTTTTAGTAATTCGTCTCAGCAATCAACCCCCCAACGATTCAGCGGGATCGAATATAATATATGTACTTCTTGTTCGAATCCAGGTGAATTAGATCACTTGGATCTTTGCAGAGCGTGTGCCGATATATTATTTAGCCATCACCTGGACATGAACGGAGATTCGAACGAGACGGGTGAAATTTACGATGAGACTTTGGATTGGGAAAGAAGAAATAATCCTATAGTTATTGATGACGACGACATTGAAAGGTCAATTACTCCGATATTGATTGAAGACGATGATTTTGATACTGAGCCGAGTCTAGCAATCATCGGAGACGAAGTCCACAACACGAGAGAAAGAAGCGACATTTATATAAGTGATCCTCCGAATTATTGGTGGGAAAATGAAAATGAAAGTCCGTCCCGGTGAGTTTGAAAAATCGGGATACCTCCATTCCCGCGCACAACTTGCCCGTTCAACGACAAAGTATTAATTTTGATTTAACGATTTGTATATTAATTTAAATTCTAGAAATTTCGATTATTCTTATCTTGACGCGTCAGTAGAGGACGTTCTCGCAGAGGAACGTGACCTTACCGCGCTTGTAGAGTGTGCGATATGTTGTGATAAACTACCGATTCGTGATTTTGCGTTTCCGACCACTAAATGTAGTCATGCTGCCAGCATTTGTCGTGCATGTCTGAACGAGTACATAATACGTGAAATAACAGATAAAGGGAATATTAACATTCGCTGTCCTGATACGGAATGTCAAATGATTTTTGCCCAAGAGGACATTAGAGAAATTGTAGATGAAGATGTCTTTTCCAGGTAGGTTTAATGGAAGCGCAGATAGTTGAGTGGTCGAAGCAGTAGAGCATACGGTTTAATCCGATACGAGTGAAAGGTCTTGGACTACAGAGTAAAGGGAAACAACTTTGTGCCTCGGTCTTTGGAATTACAGAATGGCTTCCAAATTCACTGACTGCTTGTTTTCTGGACAGGTTTGAGGCCTTGTCACTTCGTTTTGCACTCCAACAAGTCCCTGATTTCCGATGGTGCAAGAACGGAAATTGTCCGGCGGGCCAAATACATGAAGGAGGACGTATGTAGGCACTTTATTGCAAATCAAGACATCACTGCGTTATTTTCAATTTCTTATGCTATTGTTATTCATCAACCTCATCACTCACCATCATTACAGTCTCTGTTCCCATAATGACTTGCACCGCCTGCAATGCTCGTAGCTGTTTTGTACACGATCTGCCTATTCATTCAGGTTTGCAGTGCGACCAATGCAAAGCCGAAGAAAATGAGGCAAACGCCCAAAAGGAGAAGGCCGACAAAGAAAAGGCTGAGAAAGCTTCAGAAGGGTTTCTTCAACAGCAGACGAAGCCTTGCCCCAAATGTAAATCGAGAATTATTAAAAACGGAGGATGTGATCATATGGTAAGGCGACACGGGGAAATTGATGGAAATTTGAATGAAAATAATGTTATCTGATAACCATTGCGTCTTTATAGACATGCAGAGCACCAAACTGTAGACACGAGTTCTGTTGGGTGTAAGTAAAACTTTCTTTACTATTTCCTAAACGTTCGCACATATACACCTTTTTCTAAACCTCTATTTTGTAACTATTAGTTGTTTCGCCGATTACGACCCAATCCGAAGACGTGGGACTCGATATCATAACAGAAATTGTCCATATTATAAGTAACAATGTACAATTCAATTTACTATATTTCAAATATTTAAATCGACGTCCGAATCCTCCGATACTCCAAATTCAACCTGCTGAGAAAATAAAGGATCACACGATAAAATATTATGGGAGGGAGGGGGGATGTTTAAAGAAATATACAGGGATATTGATCGAGCGGAATGGATAAAAGTTATTAGGGTAATTGTTCGCTTTGGGTTGAAGGATATTATAAGAAGTATTGGAAGTAGATTGTAGTTCGTTTTGTGCAAAAGACTTGTTATAAATTTAGACAATTTACATAATATATATCTCTATAACAGAGTGTTTCGTACATTGCATTATCAAATGGTTTTCCTAAACTGCTATTCAGTTCAGTCCTGCTTGGTAATGTTGACCTTGTTTAAATTCTATTCACTCATTACATCGTCCGTTCCACAGTGATTGCAAACATAAAGTTCGCAGGATCTATTAGTTATGAAATGGCATTAGCATGCAAAAAAAATCATTGTAATTCTCTTTCTCCCCCTTCCTTCAATTACTTAATCTCCTCGACTCTACTTTTTTTCTTACCTATCTCTAATCTCGCAACAGCTGCTGCATCCATCTTCCTCGCACTTATCACAGACACGAGTGCAAATAGGGCATACTATATTCCGGCACAATCTGCACTGTGTAAAGATTGTATATGCGTTGTTCTGTCTGCGACAGATATGACAATTGCTCGGGGTGTATTTTCGTTTAGCTGTACCGGTGGGTAATTGGAAAGCGACTACTGTAGTCCCATGTTTCTTGTGTTGACGAATTGACAATTTCGAAAGAGATGGAGAAATTATTGATAGACGGTTTTCCTTTTCTTGTAATGTCGGTAAAGGTCATGGTTTAGGCAAGAAATGGCACCAGGGAAAGGTGAATGCGGGTAGAGTATATTGTAGAGAAAAGCAGGTAGAGAGAAAGATTGTTAGATGGTTTACTTGTGTAATATTGAGTCTATAGACATGGCTTTCTTGACAAAACCCCGTGGTCACTAGTCTGTAATTTTCCACTTTCTCTCTCTCTCTCTCTTCACTTACCAAATCCAATCCGTGTCTCTTGACTCTCTACTTTCATATTCTTTGGGAATCTCATAAATTCAATAAACGGATTCTTTCTCTTCTTGTCTGCAAATCCCGTCATCGTTGCCGCCGTGACTGTGTCTGACGGATCTTGCGACCCATTAGTCAGCAGTATTTGAAAAGGTGGAGAATCTGGGACCGGAATAATCTGATGGCGATCTGGGAGCATGTATAATTTGTGTTTTGATGTAGAAATACAAACAGATAAAGAAGGAGTGTGTTGCCTTGCGGGAAGGTGTCTCAAATGGACGGGAATATTTATCTCGGTGAGATTGTCCGAAGAAGGGAATACCAGAGCGCGAGATGCGGGTGGAGTTACGACGCGAAAGATAGTTTCAGAAATTTGGGGCTAATAAGATTCTATTGGTCGACGACACTAATACACTTTTTGAGGGATTTCTGATGACGTGCAGTTCTAAATATAAACTTTATAATACATTGATATACTAATACTTATAATAATAACCGATAATAACAATGATAAATAAAAATAGTAATCACTGTTAATCTTATTACGATATTACTATTCCTAACCACCTGTTTGTTATACTACACACTAATACCAATATTTACAACAAAATACTTTTTTTTTTCTCAGTCAGAGAATGTAAATTAAAATTGGGCAGATATCATCGTGAATGCATCCCATTTGTTGTTCTCTAAATAACTACAAGATATGCGCCCGAAATAAAGAATATAAACTCAAATTTCAGATCTTCGATACGATCAAAAAAAAGGCAACACCGCCTAAACTCTCTTCAAACAACGCATTCGCTTTTTACATAATAAATAACCGAAAATCCATACGGTTACCTGGTCACCTGCTTGTTATTTATTTGTTCATTCATTCGACGCACTAATAGATATATACCATAATAAACACCCAGTTTGGCAAAGCGATTCTCACCCACACACATATTTCACCAATTCCATAGCATCTATAGAAAATGACATCTACTCCAGTTTCACGAGGTAAACCATTACCGTCTGGCGCTGGTCGCCTCAAGGTGCGAACCAACGCTCCAACACGCTTGGAAATACCCTCTCCGGGGAACACGCTCACGTCCTCAACCTCTGCACCTTCTTCCCTCTCTCCTCTCATTCTCCCTGCGCCAAACTCTTCGAGCTCAAGTGTATCAGAACAGGCAGAGAGACTAACATCGGAACTCATGATTGCCATATCGGGCAAGAAGAGTGAAGGTGAAGTGAGTGAAGTAAATAATGCTGTCAAGTTGGAGGACGAGGCCACCAGTTTGAAGGCAGAGGAATTTCAAGATTTGGAAAGACTAGGCGAGGGTGCCGGTGGAACTGTTATGAAAGTTTGTCATATTCCTACTGGAAAGATCATGGCTAAGAAGGTATGTGGCAAAGAGAAAGAAACGAATTGTTTGTTGGGTAACGGTTTGGATAATCGAATATAGAGATCGAGTAATGTCGTTCGATTAACATCCAGTCCGATTGATATGACAGTTTTTATTCTAACACGCCTCGAACCTTTTACTCTTTCACTGCGAACAGAAAATCAACGTTGACCCTAACCAGCATGTACATCGTCAAATTCTCCGCGAGCTCGAGTTTCTCGGCACATGTCATTCTCCGCATATCGTTACTTACTTTGGAGCACTTTTAGAAGATGAGGGTTCGTCGGTTGGTATTTGCATGGAATATTGCGAGGGCGGTAGTCTGGATGCCATCTATAAATGTGTTAGCAGACGACAGGGAAGGATTGGCGAGGCAGTACTTGGGAAAATTGGCGAAGCGGTAAGTAGAAAACTCAACCGATCAAATATGGGCGATTAACTTTGTTGATTTATTAATCAGTTTAGTGTCGTCAATAATTAAATGAGTAGGTCGACTATTGATAACACCCTCGTTATTCATTAATCACATGATTTTATTGTCAGGTGTTGAACGGCTTGGTTTATCTGCACAGTCACAAGATTATTCACAGAGGTTAGTTGAGCAGCTTGATAGATCTTTTGACGATATCGTGTCCATAAAGCTCATTTTATTAATTGTTTTAATAGACATCAAACCATCAAATATTTTGGTAACAAAGAAGGGTGTAATCAAAATCTGTGACTTTGGTGTCTCTGGGAATTTGGTAGCGTCCTTAGCACAGACATTCCTTGGCACTAGTTACTACATGGCTGTAAATATCACTTCAAATTTATTCTTGATCTTAAGATTTTAGCAAGTAAAACACAAGAGTGACTAAAGCACTCTTGCAAAACAAAGCCCTGCCCCCAACACCCTATTCTTTCCGTTCTGAAACATGTTTCATTCTTGCTCACCTTTTCCACGTTTCGACTTTTTATCAACAGCCCGAGCGTATTCAAGGACGTCAATACAGGGTCTCAGCTGATGTATGGTCACTAGGTTTAACCATAATGGAAGTTGCAGAGAACAAATTCCCGTACCCATCTGTGTTAGGTCCAATCGAATTGGTTGCACACATAACGAAAATGGATCCACCTCAACTGAGTAACGATTGTGATTGGAGTCAGGACTTGAGAGACTTTTTGCGAGTTTGGTAAGACATCGATCCGAGTCTCAAGCTTTTATGGCAATATTGTTTACTTATCAGACACCTGACTTTACTTTATGACAGCTTGGAAAAGGATGGAGAGAAGCGGCCGACGCCAAAGCAGATGCTTGATCATCCTTTCATTCAGAGGTCTGCAGCCAGACAAGTAAATCTTGAGCGATGGATTCGACAAGTGTGGGAATGGTCAGACTAGAAAAATAAGGACAAAGAGATTGAGTGTTAAGGAGAATAATAGTGAACTGGCATAAGATGAGGGTTAATTGAGATTTGTTATTCTATTTTAATTCCATTTAAAACACTGGACATCCTGTAACCATTATCTTCTCCGTCAACATCTTTTGATCCCTTGTATTATATAGTGTTTAGTTCTTTTCTGGAACATTGTATTTACATTGAGAGAATTCTTGCTTTGTTACTTCATTTATTCTTTTTCTCTTTAATTTTTTTTTTATTTTTTGTAAGTACTTGGAATAGCGAACTTCAATTACAAATACTCGTCGATAAACCGACACGAAAAGAAAGAAAAAAGAAACGAATAAAGACGGGTCATAATTAGTAATATGCTGAACGCACAAGTCGAATGGTCCTTTGATAACCCTTCTGTCGCTTTGGATTCAGATTGAATGTTCTTCCTGTCATAATATAATTTATAGAGCTGGCGCCAAATCCAATTTACTTTATTCTATAGAGATCTACACTAATGCTAAAGCTTCGCATCTCACGTGACATAACAACACAAGCTTGCGCACTGAGAATTTTTTACAATTCAAACCATGTCTGCAGAAATTCACAATTTGATTAGAGCCTCCTTAGAAAGTGAGAAAAGGCTGAGATGGTTTTGGGATTGGCCACTTAATAAGACAACAATAAGACCAACTCTAATTGACAACGTCTACTACGGTACTGGAAGGTCGACGGCGACACCGGATTCTCCAGGTCTTTATTCGGCACACGCGAGGATACTGGTATTACTTGGAACTAGCAAAGAGTGTACGCCAACACTGGTGAATGAGTTTGCTAGAATATACTCACTTCCGACACATAAGTATAACAATAACGTTAATCAATTTAGACGATATGTGACATGGCTTGAATATCGCAACAGTCTCATAGATGGATGGATTTTACATATTTAAAGACATGAAGTGTTATATGATTGCTAGTTTACTCTTTTACGATTGTTATTCTCGGTATGGATTCTGCTCCGCATGTGGAATACTCCGATGTAGTCCGGTGTGGTGCATATGTGGACATAAACAATTATCCGATGGGTGATCTAGCAATAATAAGCAACTCGACAAGTTTATCAGTTACAAACAAACACGCCAAATGATGCCTACCTGGAATGGATTCCATATATTAGTGATAGGGGAAATGAAAGTGGATGCTTCGATCGTCTACCTATTCCTCGTGCACGTGTTAAATTGATTCCACTTGAGATAACAGACGAGACGGATGATTTATATTATGCCGAGGTAAATCAATTACTCGTGTTATCGAATAGTTGAATAGTAATTGACTTATTATTATTCTCACTAGTTATGTGATGAGCATCCAGATATTCTTAACAAGAATGTTTGGGTTACCATCGGATTCACTTATGATGCAAGCGAACAAAAGTATTATCTAATAAAAGACGAATATGAGAGGGAATTATGTCTGGCGTGTACGAAGCGATTAGGACTTGCGGTAAATGCATTCTGTTACCATTGTAAAGCCCCCACGACCTGCCAATTGGACTATGGGCAACACGTCATTGGATTCATTTATCATGGAGTCATGGAGTAATGTGAAGAATAAAGGCGATTCCTATATACAATGGATAGAGTACTCATTGTTGACAGACGTACGAGAAATGAGCTCATTACGTCATGGATGCACTCATATAGCGGAATGGTTAGAACCGACGGTAAACAAATTGACACGAGTAGCACTCAAGCAAATAGGCGATAGTCGATCGCTTGATCTTCAGCAGGTAAATTATTCGCGTGTAAAATTATGAATAATATTAAGTACACATACTGACCAAAAGTATTGGTCACATGACGATCATCATCAAAAACGCAAAATTTTACTTGGAATTCGAAATGAC